AAGGCACTCCTATTTGCTGGTTCACTCCCCAAATGCCCACATACCCATAATGGCAAAGCTGCAACCAAGAGTGCAATCCAGGTTCCATGTGGGAGGCAGGAACCTTATCATCTGAGTTATCACCCTGCCTCTCAGGGTCTGCATAAGGTGGAAGCTGCAGTCAGGAACTGGCACCAGCAATCAAACTCAGGTATATCTAAGTGAGATACAGGCATCAACTGCTAAACTAAAATTCTGCTTCCTGAGTGTTTTTTTTTTTTTTAATAAATAAGCTGCCTCATATATTTTCTTCAAAGAGGGTATCCAAAGATAAATGATGTAAAAGAAAATAATTAAGTCCCAAACTTCTTGTAGGGAGTACATGAAGTTAAACTTCATCCATGCCATAGATATTTATTGAGCACTATTTGCCAGGCACTGTCCTAGACACTTGGATATAGCAGTGACCCAGAAACCAGATACCCAGAAGGGCATGTGCTAGCATGGAAGTCCTGCTCAGGAGCAGAGGAAAAGCAGGGTTAACTTCTGGGGCTCATATTTGTGGTGCCACAGAACTAGGGATGACCATTTGTTGTGACTTAGCTATAGTAGGAGAGGAAAATGTTGACTTTTAAGTTGGGGTCATGAACTAGAAACATAATTTCTGTTCATTTTCCTGCCCTAAACCCTTAATTCTACCTTCGACCACTCCATGTTTTCTTTAATGCCAATTCTATGTTCTCTTTAGATGTCAACAGTACCCTCAGGAGACAAGATGCCAGAATACTCTGCCAGATGGCATTTGTCTGTGTTTTAATCAAAATGCCCCATTCTCTGTGCCAGTGTGAAGCAGCAACATACTTTCTGGAGCAGAGACAAGAGCACAGAAGCCTGCTGTAGCTGTTGAGGTTTGTGAGGTCAAGAAATGTACCCAGGGGGCTGCAACGGCTTAATTCTGTCAAGCTCCATGGCAGTGCCACGGTTACGGGAACAAAGCCATCCACAGTCAGCTGTGAGCAGATTTGGAGAGGCAAAGTCCTGATATGGGGCTCAGGGAGACAGTGAACGAGGGCAAGAACCCAAATGGTGGTTTCCTATGTATCCATCTCCCCTTGACGGGCAGGGGGCCAGGCACTTCTCTTACATCACCTCATTTAACTATTGAATGAAATATTATCATCCCCTCTCAAAGAGTTTAACTGAATCGGCTAGACCCAATATCAATCTGTACGCCTTTTGTGCTATTTGCTGGGAATGATCTTTTTTTCTTTTAATTCTCTCAACATCTTTTTAGATCAGGTGCACTACCCCTATTTCAGAGAATGAGAAGTGGAGGCCGAGGCTGCATATCTGGTTGATGGTAGAACCTAGCCAGCCCTATTCCAGGGTTCTGTATCTCAGCTGCTTTTGGGATTTTTTAGGAGCAAGGCAATCAGATGAGGGCTCCGAGGATTCACCCGAAGCTCACCCTGCAGCACTGTTACCATCAACAGGATGGCCCTGAGGCTGCAGCCCTCAAAGGCAGGGAAGAGATCACTTCCAGGAGAGCCTCTAGTAGTGACCAGCCAGAGGGTTTATTTACTTAGCAAACGTGATGTGATGCTATGATATGCCAGGCACTTGCCTATCCACAGTGCTAATATTAACTCATCCATCCTCATACCAACCCCATGTGGTGGGAGCTCATCTTCTCCATTACAAGGATGGGGAGTCTGAAGGAACTTGCCCTAAATCACAGCCAGGCTGCCTGGCTCCAGAGTCTCCACTTTAAGCAGAGCCAGATGGACTTTTTTTAATTTTTTTATTTTTGACAGGCAGAGTGGACAGTGAAAGAGAGAGACAGAGAGAAAGGTCTTTCTTTTGCCGTTGGTTCACCCTCCAGTGGCCACTGCGGCCGGTGCGCTGCGGCCGGCGCACCGCGCTGATCCGATGGCAGGAGCCAGGAGCCAGGTGCTTTTCCTGGTCTCCCATGGGGTGCAGGGCCCGAGCACCTGGGCCATCCTCCACTGCACTCCCTGGCCACAGCAGAGGGCTGGCCTAGAAGAGGGGCAACCGGGACAGAATCTGGCACCCCAACCGGGACTAGAACCCGGTGTGCCGGCGCCGCTAGGCGGAGGATTAGCCTAGTGAGCAGCGGCGCCGGCCCAGATGGACTTCTGAACACCCTTAGGGAAAAGTCCTCCACTCATTTCCAAATATGCATGTTCTTTAATATGCACATACATATGTGTTTGTGGGTATACACACACACACACACACACACACACACACACACATTTCCTCCTGTGATGAAAATCTTCACGGGGCTGGTGTTGCAGCACAGTGGGTTAAGCTGCTGCCTGTGATACCAGCATCCCCTATGGATACTGGCTTGTAGCTGCTCTGCTTCTGATCCAGCTAATCTGCCTGGGAAAGCAGCGGAAGATGGCCCAAGTGTTTGGATCCCTGCCCAAACACGTGGGAGGCCAGGATGGAGTTCTAGGCTTCTGGATTCAGCCTGGCCCAGTCCCAGCTTCTGTTGCAGTCATTTAGGGAGTGAACCAGAGGATGAGAGATCTCTTTTTTTTTTTTCTGTCTCTCCCTCTTTCTCTAACTCTGCCTTTCAAATAAACAAATCTTTAAAAAAATATCTTCACAAGGAAGCGATTCTCTAAAGAAGGTTGAATAAGGTATTGGCTGAGACTAAGCTGGTTTTGGAAAGAGTATATTTTGGAAAAGCTCCTAAGCTTGGTTCCTTTTGTTTATTTGTTAAAAAAAGATTTATTTATTTAAAAGAGCAATAGAGAGGGAAAGACAGAGAGAGATCTTCCATTTGTTTTTTCACTCTAAAAATGACTGCGCTAGGCCAGGCTGAAGCAAGGAGCCAGGAACTCCATCCCAGTTTCCCATATGGATGGCAGGGTCCAGAGTACCTGGACTGTCATCTGCTGCCGTTCTAGGAGCATTAGCAGGAAGCTAGATTGGAAGTGAAGCAGCCAGGACTCGAATTTGCCCTCTGATATAAGATGCCTGTGTGGAGCAGTGGCTTAATTCTGCTGCACCACAATGCTAGCTCCTTGGCTCCTTTTAATGTCTATCACACAACTTGGTAGACACATCACTTTGAGATGTACTATCCTATCTCAGATTGATGTTCCAGAAGCAATTTTTTTTCAAATTAATTTATTTGAAAGGTAGAGTTAAAGAGAAGGAGAGAGAGAGAGGGAGAGGGAGAGACAGAGAGATGGAGGGTGGTTGAGAGAGAGAGAATCTTCCATTTGCTGGTTCATGCCTCAAATGGCTTCAATGGCTGGGGCTGGGCCAGGCCAAAACTAGGAGCCTGAAGCTTCTTCCCATGTGGGTGCAGGGACCTGAGCACTTGGACCATCTTCTGCTGCTTTCCTAGGCACATTAACAGGGAGCTGGATTGGAAGTGGAGCAGCCTGGACTAGAATTGGACCCATGTGGGATGCAGGCGTTGCAGGTGACAGTTTTATCTGCTATGCCAGCCAAGCATTTCATTTTTAAATATCTTATTTATTATTCATTTTCATTTTATCAAAGAAGGAGAGAGGGAGAGAGATCTTCTATCCATTTGTTCACTCTCCAAACAACTGCAACCATTGGGGCTGAGCCAGGATGAAGCCAGGAGCCAGGAACTTTATCTGGGTCTCCCAAATAGGTGGCAGTGAACCAAGGACTTGGGCCACCACCTGCTGCCTCCCAAGGTGTGCATTAACAGGAAGCTGAGCCAGGACTCAAACCCAGGTATTCTGATAAGGAATGCAGCAGCCATCTTGACTGTTGTCTCAAATGCTTCCTGTGGAAGCATTTCACATCTTTAGAGCTCCGACCTATCGTTATAGCTCTTCTATCATTCATTGGTTAAATATTTCTGAGCACCCTAAACATACCAAGTACTGTGCTAGGTATTGGGATACAGCAGTGAAGACAGCTAAGATTCTGGCTCACATGGAGGGCTGTGGCTGGTGGTGGGGAACACGATTAACCTGCACATTCAGCACCAAGTAAGGCAGAACAGGAGGGAGGCGCAGGCTGCAGGTACCTAACCCTGACGGGGAGCCAAAAGGCTTCCCAGTGTCTCTAAGACACTCAGCAGGGATTCAGCAAACGCCCACTGGACGTCTGGACGCCAACCTGGCACCTGCAGAATGGGTGAGGATTAGTCAAGGGAAGGAGGGCTTGGTGGATGAGCGTGCATCTAGGGAAGAGAAAAGGCCTAGAGAGTGCCAAAGTGATTTTCTGACTTGTTTACAGGGATCGCTGTGCAGCCTGGAGAATCCATGTCAGAGGCAAGGCCTGGAGCAGAAGGCCTGGAGGATGGTAGAAGGGGATGGATTTGGGAGGTTAACAGCAATAGAAAGGAGCGGGATGAGGCTGCGTATGGAATCAGGGGGCGATTAGCAATTTCCCGGTTTAGGCTAACCTTCTTACTTTTTTCTAATTTAATTTTCTTAAGGTGAACACATTTCCTATCTAGATTTAGGAGCACGCTATAGGCTAACCTTAGGCAAGGGCATTCCGTTTTGTTTTCAGTAGGGGTACAGAGCCACCTTCCCCACGCCTGGGCGCTTACGTGGCCCGGGCCGGGGGCGGTTTCGCTCGAGGCTCTGCCGCCGGCGTCTGGGGTTCGAAGCCCCTCACAACCTCCGGAGAGGTGGCCTGCGACCGAGGAGGCCAGGAGGTCACGTTCTCCGCCTGAGGTGCGGCCCAGGCCCCACGCTGCGACCCCACGCTCCGCGGCGGGGCCAGGTGAGCGTCCCGGAGAGAACCGGGCTCTCCCGGGCTCCGCGGGGGCCACCGTGCTCGACCTGGAGCCCGGTTAGCGTCCCCATCCTCCCGCACCCACGGGAAGGGGCTGAAGGATTTTTTTTTTTTTTTTCCTCTCGTAAAAAAGTTCCTGTCTCCCCCTAGAGCCCGGAACACGCCTCCCAGGCCAGACCACGTGTCGCAGGTACAGCGGTTTTTGGCTCTTCGCCTCCCCCTTCCCCTTCGCTCGAGGTGGCAGGAAAATCCTTTACCTCAGACCAATCCCACGGACGCCGAGCCGCGCGCGCGCGCCAACTGGAGCCCCTTCTGCGCACGTCATTGGTCACCTCTACCTAGGCAGGCTGACAGGCAGCTGAGCGGGCCTATTGCAGGAGGAGGCGGAGGCCGCTCGGCCCTCCCAAAGCTGCTTTGTTTAGGGGCTCCCTCGCCGGTCCCCGGGCCGCCGCGCCTCCGACGCCTTCCCGCGGTCTCTGCAGGCCGCGCAGCCGGAGCCTCGAGGGGCGGCATCGCCAGAGTGCGCGATGCCGCAGCCCTGCCGGCCGCGCGCCGGGGCCGGGACGCAGCGCAGGTAGCCAGCGTGCGCCTGTTGTCACTCTGCTGCCCAACTCCGAACGCCCCGCTCCTGTATCCGCCGCCTCTGATTGGCTGGTCCGAGGAGGAGCGATTGTCAGGAAGCCCAATCGGAGCTCGGTTTCCCACGGGCTCCCGCGGCCCCGCCCCCGAGGCCGCCGGCTGAGGCGCCCTGACAGCTCCCATTGGCAGACGGCGAGTGGGGCCCGAGCGCGGCCGGCAGAGCAGCGCCGCCGCCGTCGGGCGCGCAGCTCTGCAGCGCCGCGACCACCTCGGCGTCCGCAGCCCCAGGGGCCCGGCGGCCCCGCATTGTGCCCGGCGCCGTCGCGGAGGTCCCGGACGCACGTCACGGGTGAGTACCTCAGGCTCCGGGAGGGCTCGGGCCGGCAGATCAGAGCCGCCCCGAGGGACAGCGGCGAGGAGGATGCCCGCAGCCCCTGCGCCCGCGGCGGGCGAGTCCTGACTCGGTCTCCCGCACACGGGGGGCTCCCGGCGGGTCCTAGCTCCCCCCGGTCGGGCTTTCCTCGTATTGTTTCCGCGTGCACCGCTCGGGCGGCGCGGCCGGTCTGGGGAGGCGGAGGCCGGAGGAGGCGTCCGTACGCGAGCGCGGCCGGGAGCCCGCAGAGAGCGCGGAGCCCGGGCGGCGGCGCCGGCTCTCGGGCTTCCCCGCCGCGGGGTGGGCGCGGATCGCTGCGCGCCGCCGAGCTCCGTAGCTGCCCGCGGATTATGTCAACTTCGTGTGCGTGCCGTGTCCCCTGCGTGCGTCTTCGGCCCCGGACTTGGGCATCTCCGGGCCTGGCTTCTCGGCCACGCTGCCTAGGCGCTCACCTTGGCGATCGGTGCGGCGCTTGGGGCCGGACACGCGGGGCGCAGGGCCCTGGAGCTGGCGCGCAGGGCGCGGGGACCGCTGTGGGGGGGGGGCATGGGAGGGGGCGTTCGAGGCGAGATCCTGCGGGTGCGCAGACAATGCCTCAGTCCCGGCGGAGGGGGTCCCGCGGGCTGTGCGTTGGGTCTCCGCCTCGCGGTCAGCTCTGCCGCCGTGGTGCGGCTGCACGGTGCAGCTCGCCACCCGGCTGCAGACCCGCGTGGGGCCCGCTTTTGTTTACAGACCTCGCCATTGGGCGAGAGCTGAGCCGCGCTCCCCCGGCCCTGGCCGCTGCCGCGTGTCCCCTGCGCGCGGAGAGAAGTTGGTGCACGCTGTCAGGTGACGCCCCCTCCCCCGGCTCCTGGAGCGATGCTGTGGGGAGAAGGCGCCGACTCAGCCTGCGCGGCGCTCGGCGTCCCCGGGCCGGGTCTCTCCGCACCTGGAGCCCTCGGGTTGACAGCCGTCGGGGCGCTGACCTGGCCACCCTCGCCACTTTCCATTCGCCTTCTTCGGGCTTGCCCCGGGCTCAGGCCAGGGAGACGCACAGCCTGCTTTTTTCCTGCGTGTGGGCAGGATCTCCGTGGAAGGGCGCGCACGAGCCCTTGGGGACGCGGTGCCCCCGCGGAGCAGCGGTGGGGCGACCCGGAGCCAGGGCAGTCGGATGGCTTGGCGCGCGCTCGGAGCCACCGCAGAGGCTGGAGAGCCTGGGCGCCGAGGCCACAACCAAACCCAGGCTCCAGTGCCCGCTCCGTGTCCCTCGCGAACGGGGTGACCCTGGCCGAACTGCGCGGCCCGGCGCGTCTCAGTTTGCGCGTGTGTGAAGTGGGCGTGCTGAGGATCTCTGCCTGTGCTAGGGGGCTGCTCAAGGACAGAGTACATCCATTGCAGGGCGCACGCGAATCTCTGCGGCGATTTGTCCGAGGAACTCTGAGACCGGCTGGCCCGAGTGGCTTCCCTTCTCTGCCCTCTCCGCTCCTCCAGCCCCGTTCTCAGCTTCTGACACGGCTTGTTTTTACGTGGCCCTGTGCAGAATCGTACTCATCCCTTGCAGCGCCGCCTCATGCGTTTGAATTTCCACGAGGTTTTCCGTTGTTTCTTCTTCCTCAAGACTATGCTGAGGCCCAGGACCTGGCTTTGGGGAAGGTGGGAAGTGGTTGCCGGTGGACCAATGGCTGCTGCGCAAAGTGCTGTACGCCGGGATGGAGGGCGGTTTGAACGCAGAGCTGGCTGGGGATACCTGGCAGGCGGGAGGGCACACTTCCTGCGAGAGCTGTAATCGAAGCTCTCTGTCTTGCCCCAGAAGCTGTGGAAATTGCTCTGTTGTGCCTCATAACCAGTCACTCCACCAGGAAGCGTGCCTTCGAGTGGCAAACAGCAAAGTTGCTAAGTAATTATGTTGCAATGGAGATGAAGTAAACTTGGGGAGGCGAGCGAAGGCTGTTGGCTAAGCCAGGAAGGTAGAGGAAGAGAATTGATTTCATTGAATGTCTTCAGAATGCTGTCAGGGTGTTTGCCTCCTATTTCCCGTGCTCTCCTAGCTCTGCACTGCTAATTTCCTTCAGGCAAACAGAGAAGCCGGTATTCCATAGAAAAGAACAAAACAAAACAAAACACCAAAAAAAAAAAAAAAAAAAGCTACCCACAATCAGATAAATAGGCCAGAAAGATGATCTTAGGCTCCTCGGCAAAGATTTTATTGAAAAAATACCTCCTGTTTTAACACGCTGTTGCCCGTTGGGACAAATTATTGAGCTGAGTCTAACAGCACATCCTTTGAATGTAGACCTCAGGGGCCTTTGCCAGCCAACACAAGCAAATAAACAAACAGGAGGGAGCGTCCAGCAGTCCGTGCAGTGATTGCATAGGCCCACGGGGACTGCTCCCTGTCCCCACCGTCCCCTTGGGCCTCCCTCTGTCACCCCCAGTGGAGGCTGACTCCTCCAAGCCCCTCACAGGATGCTTCCGTGGAAGGGGCCTGTGGCATTCTGCTGGATAAATAGAAGAAGCTTTTAAAGTGGCCCTCGCAGCAATGACTCCAGTCCTCCCTGGGCTGGTTCTGGGAATCCCCTGGTCCTCAGGGATGCTGAGGGCCTCTTTGCCCCCTGCTGCTGTCTGAGGAGCAAATCAGTTGGGGGCCTAGACTTAAAAGGGAGCACGTGGTTAGGAAATCTCATTAGCTGACAATTTAACTCCACTCTAATGCTCATCCAAAGAGCTGGGACAAAGACTTCCTCCCTGGTCCCTCTCCATTTCTTTCTCCCTGGTCTCCTCCCCTCTCCTCCTCTCCCCTCCCCCTTGGAGCCAGAAAGGAAACATAGTCCTGGTCCACCCCCCTCCCCCCAGATTCCAGCTGTTCTGGTGAGTCAGGTGAACCCCAGGACCGCAGGCATTCTGAGGCCTCCCTGGGAATTCTCTGGAAGCTTTGCTGTGGGCCTCCTGGGGGTGTGTGTTCACACTTGGCACGTTCCTTTCTCCAAGGCACTGTCTGAAGGAGCAACAGCTTCTGTGCGACATTTTAATAGTTGTGCAGTAGGATCTTATGATTTCCTAAATGAGGGATTTGCGTGAGAGCATAGGAATCACTCCAAGCCTTGCAGAGGGGGCTTTGCCTGTGTGCAAAGGGCAGAGGGGCAGGGGTGAGGAGCCCTAAGCTGAATGTGGTTTCCATGGGCTGTGCTTAGATTCCTTGCGGGTTCCTGAACACCGCAGATTCACCCTTGCGGCGGAGAAAGATTTTTATTTGCATGGTCTCCAGGGCTTTGGTCTCCTGAGTCAAAAGCAGTTTCGGGGACCAGCGCTGTGGTATAGCGGGCCAAGCTGCCACCTGCAGTGCCAGCATCCCATACCAGTTAGAGTCCCAGCTGCTCCACTTCCGATCCAGCTCTCTGCTATGGCCTGGGAAACCAGTAGAAGATGACGCAAGTCTTGGGTCCCTGCACCTGTATGGAGATCCGGAAGAAGCTCCTGGCTCCTGGCTTTGGATCTGCTCAGCTCCGGCTGTTGTGGCCATCTGGGGAGTGAACCAGAGGATGGAAGACGTCTCTCTCTCTCTCCCTGCGACTGCCTCTCTGTAATTCTGCCTTTCAAATAAATAAATAAATCTTAAAAAAAAGAAAAAGTGCAGTGTCTTCACTGGAGGGGTGTGTGTGAATGCGTGTCTGCACACATACACATGTTTACATGTGTGTGTATATCCATAAAACTGCATACATACACATACATTTCCCTTTCTAAATTAAGCAAATGGGTAGAGGGTGTGTTTATGAGTGAATTTCTCTGTCCCCCCCCTTTTTTTTTTCTTAAAAAATTTTATTGGAAAGGCAGAGTGACAGGGAGGGAGAGAGAGACAGACAGAAAGAGATCTTCTTTCTGCTGGTTCATTCCCCAAATTCTTGCTAGTGCCAGGGCTAGGGCAAGCTGACGCCAAGGAGCCAGGTACTCTATCTGTGTCTCCCATGTGAGTGGCTAAGTACTTGGGCCATCACTGCCTCTCAAGTGCATTAGCAAGAAGCTGGGTCAGAAGTATGCGGTTGAGGCATAGCCATTTAAGCAGTTAAGCCAGCATCTGCAATGCTGGCATCCCACGTGGGCACTGATTGACATTCTGGCTGCTCTACTTCCTATCCACCTCCCTGCTAATGCACCTGGGAAAACAGCAGAAGATACCCAAATATTTGGGCCCCCTGCACTCATGAGGGACACCAGGAAGAAACTCCTGGCTCCTGATTTTGTCCTGGTTCAGCCCTGGCCATTGTAGTCATCTGAAGAGTGAACCAGCAGGTGGAAGATATCTCTCCCCTCCCTATCTTTTCCCCTCTCTCTGTAACTCTGCCTTTCAAATACATACATAAATCTTAAAAAAAAAAAAAAAAAAGAAGTGTGCGGCAGTTGTTACTGGAACTAGCACTTCATTATGGATTTAACCTGCTGCACAACAGTGCCTGCCCTCTTTGCCCTTTTGTTTTTATTTTTTTCCTCAATACAGGATCAGAAAAATCAGATTTAGGAGGGCTTGGCAAGCTTTCTCTGTTTCTCACAGTCCCCCACTTCATATCTTTCTACCCCCCCCCCCCTTTGAAGTGCAGGGTTAGAGAGAGAGAGAGAGAGAGAGAGAGAGAGAGAGGCAGACAGACAGGAAGATCTTCCTATCCGCTTGTTCACTCCCCAGATGGATGCAATGGCCAGGGCTGGGCCAGGCTGAAGCCAGAAGCTTCATCCGGGCCTCCTACATCTTCCACTGTTTTTCCAGGTGTGTTAGCAGTCAGCTGGATTGGAGGAGGAGCAGCTGGTACTCGAACTGGC